TTTTTATTTTCTGACATTTATTTAATCGAAGAAGAATTATCTCGATTGTATTTATTTGTTTAACTTATTTATTTACTATTTACTCAATTGGTAATAAAATAGATTTAATGATGATAATTTAAAAATTGAAGACTTTAGAAGAGTTAAATAAAAATTTTATTAAAGAAGGGAAACAACATTTAACCGAAAAAAAATTTGTTTTAATTTTTAAAAATCAAAAATATAGTTTTGGCTTTTAAATTCGGATTTATTATTTTTTAAAAATTTTGTTGTGAAAATGAGTTGTATTTATTTCAAAAAGTTAGCCATGGATAGTGTCGCATTATTTTGGCAAAAAATTAGAAATTTGCGTTTATTTGATTTTTTGAAAAAAGTCATAAGTTTCGTTTAGCTTAATATTTTTGAATGAAATATGGCCAAGTTTCACTATGATCTGTCAAGCCGTTTTTGAGAAAGAATTTTGATTAATGTGGATTATTTTATCGTTCCCTTACAGATACAACTTCCACATTCAGACACTGTAGAATTCTTCCAACGTTTGTCGACCGAAACGCTTTTTTTCATATTTTATTATATGGAAGGTTCCAAAGGACAGTATCTAGCAGCGAAAGCATTGAAGAAACAAAGTTGGAGGTTCCATACTAAGTACATGATGTGGTTTCAAAGACACGAAGAACCCAAAATTATTAACGAAGAATACGAGCAGGTAACACTTGTAATATTTATTATTCTACAAAAATACCTTGATGGACGATTCTTCACAAATTAATCATATTTTTGCAATGAAACTGAAAATGGCATCTAGTTTATTTTTCAAAATTTTTTATTAGTTTTACACAAAAAAATGTTTAACTTTAAAATTCAATTTTTTAAATTAAGTGGGTGCTAGTTTCAACTCTACATTTTTGCAAGATAAATCTAAAACTTAAACTTATTTGACGAATTTAAAAATTGAATCTCACTCTAAGTGAAATAAATATTTATCTACTTTTAAGGAAGTGATTCAATTTTAATTTCAGTTGAAAATGTATCTAATATTTCTGAATATGAATTTGAATTAATCATATCCCCTTTTTCACCTTTTTCTAATCAAAAACAAGGAAAAATAATTAACTAACATTCAAATAATTAAAATATTATTATTAATCATTTTTTCTAGAAAAACAAAAATTCTAATACAAAACCTTCAATTTTTTTCCATTTCTGACAATAATTTCTTTTTAAATAACTTAATTTTTGAAGAACTATCATAAAATTATAACTTGGAAATTATTTAATGAATAATTTTATTTAAACATTTCAAAATTAATTGAATTTTAAAATAGTTGCGTTAATAATTTTCTTAAATAGATGAACTTCAAAACATTATAATTTTTAAAATTTCCCTAAATTCAATGATATTCAATATCTATTTTAATAAAATTTTCCAAAAGAATTTAATTATTTAAAAAAGTTTCATTAAAATTCTACGCAAACGTTTAATTATTTTCATAAATAATAAAATAATTTCACAGGGATTCTATTATTTACAAATTTTTTTTATAAATTTCTTTGCGATAATTCCATTATTTTCATAAATAATCAAAGTCATCGCAGAATTTCAATTATTTTTAGTACAATTTTAATCGAATACCTCGAAAAATGTAATTATTTTTAAAAATTTTATTTAAATTCGTCGAAAGAATTTAATTATTTAAAAATTTGTCGATACAATTATTTACGAGAATTCAATATAAATTATTTATTTTTGTATTTAAATAATTGAATTCTCGTAGAACTTTCCAGTAGAAATTGATTTAAAAGTTGAATTGTAAACAAATACATTTGAAAATTCTCAGAATTTTTTTTAAAAATTATTGTAAATAATTGATTTAAAGAAGAATTTTAGTTAAAAATTCTAGAAAATAATAATTGAATTGAAAGGATGAAAATAATTTTGAAGAAGTTACAGTAAAAATATTTCTTATAGTTGAAAATAATGATCTTATCACTCGGTCATCTTTAATTATTATAAAACATGAAGAAAGTGATAACTCGGAGTGATCACTTTCTTCATGTTTTCTAATAATATTCTCATGAATTGTTGAATTTCAAAAAGATTTGAATTAAGGTGAATTAAGGTGAATGAATTAATAACGTTTTTGATTTTGATTGCAGGGAACTTACATTTACTTCGATTACGAAAAGTGGGGTCAACGAAAGAAAGAAGGCTTTACATTCGAGTACAAATATCTAGAGGATAGAGACCTCAATTAATTGAAGACCTATGAATAATTGAAAGTCTTCTTCTATGTTCATGAAATGAGAAGAAATTGAGACGCGAATGAATTTTTTGCGGTTATATATTTTCGAAAAATATAACTTTATTTATTGGCAAGGAATAATGAAAATTTGTCGACCGAAATTGAAAGACAGAAAGAGAGATGGAATAATGAAGAAGCAAGCAAGCAAGCAAGCAAGGAAGCAAGCAAGCAGATAGATGATAAGAAACAGATAGATATCGGCGATAACGTATTAAAGGTGTTAAAATACAATCTCCTTTAAAAAAAAAGAAAAACTTGAATTCAATGGCAAAATAATGTAAAATCAGTCATGATTACTGATAGGCAGTAACTGTAAAGTTGTAAACTTTGAGTTGTACCAGTTGCACATTTTAGTACTTTTGTGTGAGGTGTGTGATAAATAGAGAAGGAAGTTAAACTCGCTGACGACTGACTCTAAAATACCAGTACAAACATTATGTGCGACCCATTTGCCGTTTAATGGTATGGTGGAAGACGCTCATGCTATGGTATATCTTAATGTTTAGATTATAAGTAGCCTTTTTTTGTATAAATTATATAAAGGTATGAAACCCTTAAATTGAATTACTGTACAGAATGTGTAGAAATAGTAAATAATAATATTATGGAATATATTTTATTTCTCATTCAAAGAATCCTACATTTTTTCATTTTTTCATTTTTTCATTTTTTCATTTTTATTTTACATACGCAATTATGTTCGTCATTTTTTAATTTTCAATAAAACTAAGTAGATTAATTCGCATTTCTCTCATTAAAGGCATTTGCTCAATAAGTGCTTTTATGGTCCCAAATCAATCCAAATTAATCTTTCTCTCGAGCAATAAAATTCAAGTCACACTTTAACCACATTACTGTAAAATTCACTTTAAATAGTCTTTTAATAATATTATAACTTGAAAATTTTAACCAATTTAAGTTTTTGAATATTCAGGTGAACTTCAAAAGGTTTTAATTTTAAATTAAGAATGAATTTCATTAGATTCTTCTGAAATTTGTTCAATTTTTTCATACATATTTAATTAATTATTAAAAATAATGGATTTTTAGAAGAATTTTAGTTAAAATACTAAAAAATTTGAATTTTGGAGAAGTTACAAATGATTGCAGAAATTCAATTATGTTCAAAAACTTTTAAAAATTCTCATCAAAATTTCAATTATCTTTATAAATAATACAATTTTTCTCCAAAATTCAGTTATTTTCAAAAATTTTCATCAATTCAATGATTTTCAATATCTACTATTTTAATAAAATTTTAATAAAATTCTACGCAATCATTTAATTATTTTTAGGAATAATAAAAATTTCACAGAAATTCAATTATTTACAAACTTTTTCAAGATTTCTTCGCAATAATTCAATATTTTCATATTTTCATAAATAATAAAATATTTTACAAGGATTCATTTAACCTTATAAATATAATAAAACTTTATTGCAAACTTTTAATTATTTTTAATACAATTTTAATAGAATTCCTCGAAAAATGTATGTAATTATTCTTAAAAAGTATATTAAAATTCGTCGAAAGAATTCAATTCAACAAAAAAAATTTGTTAATATAATTCTTTATAGGAATTGAATTTTAAGAAACATTCAATTATTCAATCAATTATTCATTTTTGTATTTAAATAATTGAATTCTGGTAGAATTTTCTAATAAAAATTCATTTAAAAATGAATTTTAGTTGAAATTTTAGATAATAATTGAATATTAAAAGCAATATAGTGTGAATTTTTAAAAATAATTGAATTTTGAAATTTTCATACTTTTAACTAACAATTCTGTAGAATTCAGTATTTCGAAAAAGTTTAATGGATTTTTTTTTGAAATTATTTCAAGTTTTTATTTTCTAATTGTACCTATATATTTAAATGAAGAATTTCCGAATAATCGAAATTTCGTAAAATCGAATTGTAAACAAATGGATTTGAAAATTCTCAACGAACTTTTTCAAAAATAATTTAAAATAATTGATTTAAAGAAGAATTTTAATTAAAAACTCTAAATAGCAATAATTAAATTGAAATTATGAAAATAATTTTGAAGAAGTTTCAGTAACAATATTTTTCTAATATAAAATAATGATTTTATCATTCGATCATCTTTAATTATTATAAGTAATTGAATTTTAAAAAGGTTTGAATTTGAAAGTTTTGAAAATCTTAATTCCTGTAAAACATAATAATAATATGATTAAATACTTATTTTAAATAAAACTATTGACGTTTTCGAATAATTCTACAACTATAGAAATTCGTAAATAAATGTAATAGAATGTTTTTTTGAGTATCAAATCATTTTTAGAGTAAATCAGAATATTCTTTAGAGTCAGGGAAGAAGTTAAAATTTTTTCTTGATATCAGATAGAAAAGTCAGGGAAAAACAAAATTAAGTTTTTGTGGCAAGCCGGATATTTTAAAATCATATTAGGGCATTAGAAATTTTATCTAATTTATTGTTTTCGACTATTTAAAAAATGTCATTATAAATTTTATTAAATTAAATTTTAATAGTATTTTTACAAAGTATCCTAAGGCTGCGGTTACACCTCTGCAGGCTGCCTGCCTGCGCAGGCAGGAGCAACGAGAGTAAGGGAGAAGTTTGAAGTCACTGACTCTCTTACTCTTGTACGTTACCATGACAACCTGCAGGCAGGCAGGCTGCCTGCAGAGGTGTAACCGCAGCCTTAGTGTATCTTTAAAGTCTAGCGCGTTGTTCACTCAACTCAGTCGTGTTTTACTGAAAAACTATTATTTCAACCACCGGATAGTATAACTACATATAAATATCTGATGGCCGTTTTAGTTGGCTCCTGACATCCAAAAATTAAATTAAAAAAATTGTTTAGAAGTTAATTTTTGGATATCAGAAGCTAACTAGAGCGGCCGTTAGAATTTCATGCGCCGTTATTCTATCCATTGACAGTAAAATATTAGATTTTATTTCGAAACAAAATATAGATTTGCAGATTTCATATATCATTGAGGCAAGGCTGAATGATTTCATAGAGAGAATAATATTTTCCAGTTCGTTGAGCAATTTTCTCTGCAGTGTCGCCACTTGCATTTACGTGATGAGGATTGGTGTCAGGATGCAGAAGAAGAAGCTGAAGACCTGGCGAATTGTGAGAGCTGGCCGACACTAAATGTAGAGGCGTTTGTTGGCCTTTACTCAAAGCGTTCACATCAGCTCCATGTTGAATCAAAAGTGAAATGCAATCAATGTTGTTCCAAACGCAAGCAGAATGTAGTGGCTGCCATCCATCCAGAGTTTCTGCATCAATCGGTGCATTTCTTTCCAGTAAATACTGTAAACATAAAAAGTAGTCGGTAAACTATTCAACCAAAGAAAGTAATTTCTTTTAATACCATTTTAAGAAAATATTTCATACCTTTACAACCTCTACGTGATTTCCATAACAGGCTCTATGAAGAGGAGTGTAACCATCTTTATCTACTGCTTTCACTAATTCTTTATTTGAATTTATCAAGTCTTTTAATTTCTCCATTTCACCTGCTTCAGCTGCCTTCAAGGTGGCATCCTCGAACGGATCTGCGAAAAGCAAATTAATATTTTATCAATGGCCGAAGAAAATTCTAATGGAAATTGTGGAAAAATATAAAATAGTTTTAATACCGATCATTTTTTGGATTTTTAATTTTGTTAAAAAAAGTTTTTTGCCCATAAATTTAAGAAATGTTAGGACACCTATAAGTGTTTTTCTCTAATTTTGTAGAGTTTTTTTAGTCACATCTTTTGAGTTCTTATTGAAAATTTTCCGTCCAAATTATCCGGAGATATTATAAAGTTTTAAAAGTCTAAAAATTTGGAAAATAAAACTTTTAAAAAATTTGTTAAGAAACGGAGAAGTAACCTTTTTTTGAATCTAATTCGATTAGAAATTACGAAATTATTCATATTTTAAAAACCAAAAATTGTAAAGTAAGTCTTATTTTTTAATTTTGGAACTAACTTTTAAAGTCTTATAAATAATTTGTAGAACTTTAAAAATCGCTTTGATTCAACTAATTTTTAGCAAAACTATAGATCAGAAATACGAAATTATTGTTATGTTAAAAACCAAAAATTATGGAAAATATCGCTTTCAAAGATTAGTAAAAATAATTTTATAAAAGCAGAAACGAATCCGATCAATTTTTAATTTTGACATCCGCCTTATTAAATCCGATATTTTGAATTTTTTAAATCCAGGGTTGCTACAGAAGTCTGTTTTTAAATTTCCATGACTTTTCCAGGTTTTCCAGTACCAAATCTGATAAATTTCCAGGTCACCTTTTGAACATTATAAATTAGAGCAATTTTTCTGTATTATAAAAATATTCACGTTAGATTATCTCTATTTGATTATTAAAGCACAGACAGGGTGTCTACTGAAAATATGACTTAAAATTCCAGGACATTCCAGGACAGATTTTTTATTTTTCCAGGGCATTTACATGTGTAATATTATTTCATATTACGATTAACATAATTTAAATTAACCTACTTGAACAAAAATATTAATTTTATTATAAAAAGAGTTAAAAATCAATATTATATAATATAGATATCAGATTCTTTAATCAAACGACAAATTAAAATTATTTTTTGATGGATCAAAAAAATTATTTTTTTAAATTTGAGTAAAATTTTTAAATTATTGAATATTTAAAAGCAAAATATGGAAAATTCAAGGATATTTCAGAACATTTCCAGGAATTCCAAGACATCATTTTTTAAAAGAAAAAATGTAGTAAAAAATATTAAGTGGAATAAAATTCCAGGCATTTCAAATTTCCATGACATTTCCAGGTATTCCAGACCTTTTTTTAAAAAATCCCTGACTTTTCCAGGTATTCCAGACCTTTTTTAAAAAATCCCTGACTTTTCCAGGTTTTCCAGGTTCTGTAGCAACCCTGAAATCTAACATAATGCTCTGGCAGAAAAAATAGATGAATTTTTTTTATAAAATATCTTCGTTTGAAATTCAACTAAAAATTTTGTGCATTTGGGCGTTAATGGGTTGAAGCATAACTTTTTTTTTAATTTATAATTATAATAATTTTTTCTTTAATATGTTATCAAAATAGACACTGTTGTGTCATATCGCTATAATTACTATATGGTAAATTGTGAGGTACAAGTTTTAATTAAACTACTATACGACAGGTCTCTAAAGTACTTGAGATGTACGTCAGGTAATAAATGCAGATAGTATAGCAATACGTGCAGAACACAATTTTAGTGAAGGGCATTCCAATCACTAATCATCTGTAATTTGTTTATTTTTAAATTTGCAATATTTTTGGATACACCATTTGAAAGAGCGATTCCTGAGCCATAAGAAATGTCTATTGCCAAATTTTTTAAATTGTGCTTTAACGTGTAAAAATAATGCCTTAATTAAAAGTTTATGTTTAATTGTGTAAAACTGAAGTCAGTTTTCATTAATTATTCTAAATGTAAAACAGACGTGAACGTCAAACTGGCTTTAATCATTGATTAACTTTTAATTGAGGATGGTGGAATTAGCCCTAAAGTTTTTAAAAACTATGCACTTGATTATTAAAAATCCTAAATAATGAAATTTCATAAATAATTGTAGAAAATGTACTCTTGTTAGAAAACCTTATTTCTAACCTCTTGAACTTTGTGTTTCATCAACTCCGTCGGTATCTTTTTCCCATCCACTAACTTGCATAATGTTTAGTTGTAGTATTCAAACTAGGAGAATATGTTTTGAAAAGGAATAAATGTTTCTCACATAAAAAATAAATGATTTCTCTTTTTCTTTATTAGTTTGCGGGTTTGTGTATTTTAGGGGATGAGGTTTGGTTTGTTTTCAAACAATGGCATTAAAGGTGAGTTCAGAATATATACATTCAGATCAAGACAGAAACAGACTGGAATCATAAAGGCCTTTCTTCAATATGATCCCAAAAGACTGTGTTAGGGGGCGATCCCATGTGAGCAGAATAAGGTAAGTATTATGGACAGTTAAGCTTATTTCGTAAAAGAATGCACATGCGCAATATGCGTAAAACTTCTGCTGTATTTGTATAAATTTCTACGTTATCAGCATAAAAGTTCTACCTGTAACGCATGGGACGTCAGTATACTACGATTGCAAGAGATCCATGCTTTTTTAGTATATGTTTCATGCAACTGAGGTATAAAAACATGCCTCTTTAGCAGGACGTTCATACAAAATTAGCATAGGAAGTCTCCATACTACAAACGCTTGATTTTTCTCTCCGTGCAGCTATTTGACGTCACACCTGAAATCGACTCTGACGTCACAACTGAAAAAGCCATAGAGGTAATATAAATAGAGTGGGGATGGTTTGCATGTATGCGTCCGCTTGATAGAAAGAGAAAGAAGATTTAGCACCAGTAGGTGTCTCTCTTGCGCTGGAGCTCATTGAAGGACAGATACTGGTGTTAAATCTTCTTTCTCCCTCCAACCCATTCTGTTTATGGCAGGACACTTCCCCCACACGCTGCCGCCTATACCTTCCCCACTCTATTTATAATATCTCTATGGAAAAAGCCTAATCATAGAGATAGCCTAATACGTTTTCGCGTGAAAACCGTATTGGGGGCATTCTGCCAATCCTGTCCTCTGGAATCTTTCGATTTCATTGATCGACTCGACTGTGTACTGTTGATCTATTACCACATGAGCCACATGATTTAGGGAGCTTTCGACGTTCGCGCTAGGGGCGCTGTGAGTATAACACAGCGCTTATTTAGAAATACCCTAAATCATATGGTAATAGACCGACAGTTTCCTGTCCTGCTAATCCTGCATCTACAGGTTAGCACAGTAGCGTATATAAGTGTTAGAGAGATAGACTTCGAGATATTTTAAGAAAAATTCAATTGTCTGAAACATATGTGATTCAATGTTACAAAATAAGCATAATATAAATATGTAAATGTCATAAGATGCGCCTTTGTTTCACTTCCGCTCCAATTGACTCCTACAAATTCCCTGATTCTTTTTTCTTGTGACAAATGACCTTTTTTTTTTGTTTTTTTTACTAAATTATATAAAAAAGCGGGCGTCCCGCATTGACACTATTTCCATATGGTCACTTTAATTTTAACAAAATTTTATATTTCCTGTTCGTTATCAGCATTTTTATTTTTTACACATCGTGCAGTCATAAGAAGCGTTGAAGAGTAAAATTTTCGATTTGAGATGATCGCCAAACCTCCACTAGCTCTACCTTTTGATGCAACTTTAACACCCTCGGCGTGATGAATCAAGTAGTCTCTGGAGAATAACGAACTGATCCTGTTGGGAGATGTTGACCATGTTTCATATACACAAAGAATATCCATGTGACCAAAATGATCCTTAAGATCCACAATGTTGGAATATCCATGGACATTTTTTTTAATTCATTCGGAAACAATCTCCTTTTCCACTAGACTACTCTGATATTATTTATGTATTATTTCTTACTTAAATTTTTCAAACAATTTAGTAAATGAAATTTTCAATATTAGGTTATTTGCCAGGTGAACTTTAAAATCATTTTTAATTTAATATTTCTTATAAATAATTGTTTCTATGAATTTATAATACTAAACTAATTCATTCTTAATAAATTTTAATAATTTTTTTACGTTTTCATAGTAAATTATTTGTTTTCTTTAATATTTTCTAATAGATGGAAAAGTGACAGTTTTTACGATTTTTTATACTTTAGATGCTTATTTTACAATAAATATAAAAAATTCTTTTTGTTCAGTGATTCTTATGTCTTTAAAATCAATCCTGCAAAATATTACAATTTTTTAAAATTAGTCGGCAACGACTTTAGTCGAAATAATGGAATGACTCTATAGAAATAAGAAAACAATGTATTCTGGAAATATAGTATTTATTTATTTAGAACTGAAACAAAAACGTTTAAAATTGACAATTTTTACAAACGAAATGGGAACAAAACCAAATGTGTCATAATTTTTTTTTAGAGAAAATCGAAAAAAATTGCACATTTTTATAGATATTAAAATAAAACAAGTTGAAAATGTTTGCATTTTTATAGTCAACATAAAAAGAAAGTCGAAAGTGTCGAATTTTAATGAAGAAAATCGAATAATTAACATGCGGGCGCAAAGTATTTTGGTGCAACCTGCTGGAAAAGAGCTACTTTTCTTTAACATAAATGCAGCACAAAGTGGTCAATTTCTGCACACTTTTCTATAAACAGTATAATGTACACTATAATCAACATAAAACTATATTTATTGATTAGAAAAGTATAAAAATAACTTTTTTCTGTAAATAGATGTTGCACAATATACTATTGCGCCCGCTTCCCCTATACCTGCCTATACCCCTGGGTGGGAATGAATTATACTTTGCGCCCGCTCTGTGCCCGAAATGACATACTTTCCGTGCAGGTATAGGAGGCCGTTCAAAAAATACGTAACGCTTTAGAGGGGAGGGGGGGTCAAGCTATTTGTTACGGTCAGCAGAAAAAATGGCGCTAATGTATACAACATTGCGTTACATAGGGGGAGGGGGAGGGGTCCAAATTCCCGAAAAATAGCGTTACGTATTTTTTAAACGGCCCCTAGGACAAAAAACGATTTTCTTTTTGTTTTGATAACCGAACAGTCATGTTCGCTCGTCTTATTATTGAAGTGAACATCCAGCTGTGACCATTCGTGTCGAATCTCGAATGTCGATGAAGAAAAAGTTGTTGTAGAAGCAGCCTGAAACGACATTTCTTGTGCAGTCACCCTTATTAGCTGCTACACGTTATCCGCTTTCCGTTTATTATTAGCTGCTGCAGATAGTGTCGCTCTTCGAAGGTTGTGTCATATATATGTCACTTTTTAGGGAGCATTTACACCTTCGGTAAAAATTTCCCGAACGGAAAATTTTTCATTGGAGTAAGAGAGACAGACTGTGTATCTGACTCTCTTACTCCAATGCAAATTTTCCTTTCTAGCCAATTTTTACAGAAGGTGTAAACGCTCTATTAAGGAGCATTCGACCTCTGTACTCTGCACTCTGCAGGCTCCTTTTCTTTAGGTTGAGTCCACAATAGGCACTTTCTTAAAGCGATGCATACCCTCTACATCGATTTCTATTGTTCGAACAATGGAAATCGATGTAGAGGGTATGCATCGCTTTAAGAAAAGTGCCTATTGTGGACTCAACCTTATGTTCAATTATCTCAGACGAAAAGTGATGATTATATGATAGGATTATGTGTATATTCGAATAAAGTTTTTTTTATAAAAATATAGTAGTAGAAATTTAACTGTTACATATTATTATACATTTTAGAAATTGACTTATTTATCAGTGTGTCGGTATCCTTAAAAAGTGATTGAGACATGTTTATTTATTATTTTATTCTTCAATCGCTTCAATCCTACACCGTTTCACTCTACAATCTTAGTATAAACAAAATTGTAAGTTTAAGTTGTAAGCAGTATATTTTATTTCTAGTGAAACTCTGGCTGTAATACAACGTATTTGTCTTAATCTTTGTGTAATACATACAATGTTTCAATGTAATTTGCCGAATTTGCCTCGACCAAGTAAGCGAGATCGCAGGTAGATTTTCCACTTTAGTCAAATATTTACCTTAAATTAAACTTTTAGTAAGTACATTCTTGATTTTTTATACACTTCAAGGTAATATATTGTTTATTTATTTCTCATTATTCTAAAGGTATTTATTTTTCGACACTTGCTTTCTTTTTCGGTTTTATTCCAAAACAAATATGTTGGTTAAACGAAATTGAGGTTAGGTTTCAACATTTAAATTTGTACTTAAATATTGCTTGTTATCTTAATAATATAATGTAGTAATTTACCAAGAGCACAAATTACTTTATTTTTGATGTTTTTAAAAATAAATTTTGAGGATGCAAAGAAGTTTTAAAATCAATTATTAATTTAATAAACATGTATGACATAATGCAATATTATGATTAATAAAAACTAGGAAAAAATTACAGTTTAAAGTAGACAATAAAAGCTGTGACAGAAAGTTTAAAAACTTTTGAAGAATTATAATTGCAAATTTTGAAAGTAATTGAATTATCAAAAAAATTAATGAAAAATCTTTAAAAATAAAAATTAATGAAAATTAGCTTCTAATTTAAAAAAAAATTTAATTCAATTTTATCATACAAAAAATAATAATATTTTAGAATTGTTTTTAACATTTTGCAGAAAAAAATCATGTTTAACATTTTTAATTAAAATTCATGAAAAAATTAATTAGTTCTTTTAAATTATACAATAATCCTTTCAAGAAATTCAATTATTTTCGATAAATTATACATTAAAATATTCTTAAAAATTAATTCTTAGAATTCATTTATCATAATTTTTTAAGATTCAATTATCTTTGCACAAAGTAAATAAAAATTTATGAAAATTTACTTTTTTAGACTTATTAAAATTTGGGAGAAATCATGATCATATTTATAATTAAAATTCTTGAAAATTTTTCAATTGTATATAAATAAAAAACTATTATCTTTCAAAAATTATTTTAAAATATTAAAAACAAGTTGTTCATTTCATGATCATTAAGCTTCCTCAATATAATATATACCAATTGTTTAATTTTTTATTTTAGAATAATTATTTTAAAGTGTTAAGATAAAATGTCAAAAAATACAAAATTTCAATTTTTTGTGAAAATTTAAAATATTTATTAATTCTATAAATTTTGATAAAATATATACTTTATATACATGAATCGATTCGTTTTTATGTCAGGAATGCAATTTTGACAAGAATTAATAAAAATTTTAATATAGAAAAAAGTTACTTCAAAAAATCCAAAAATTATTTTTTCAAAAATTAAAAAATTGTTGAAAAAATTTTTTTTTTTAGATATTTTTGAAAATCCTTTTGTCTGATTTTTGGTATTCGTGACCGTAATACACCTACAAAATTTTATCAAAATCCGTCAAGACGTGTAAGAGAAAATTTGTCCACAAGAATCGGTGACATACATACATACATACACACACACACACACACACACACACACACACACACACACACACACACACACACACACACACACATACATACACACATTCATCCGGACATTTGTTCCTCTCGACGAATTATATATACTACTACACAGAACCTCTGGATTGTTAGAAATTTAAGATATTTATATAAAATTTAGATATTAAGGGGACATTCCAGTTCAAAGAGTCAAAAAAATCGATTTTTGTTTGTTTTTATTTTCGGATTTCTTATAGTGTCAAGAATACTGTCCTAAAATATTATTGCAAAATTCGAAGTAAGGGGCCGTCCATAAACTACGTCACGCCTTAGAGGGGGGGGGGTGGAATTCATTTTTTGTGACGTTCTGTAGAAAAAATGGCGCTAAAGCATGTAAAATTTGTGATGTTGGTAGGGGGGGGGGGGGGGTGGAAAAATTATGCAAAATTGTGTGACGTAGTTTATGAATGGCCCCTAAAACAAAAGTTATACATCCTTATTCTTCGCCATGTCAAAGATGTTTTTGTATGCGGATAAGCAATCGAATGATTTAAATGTTTTCTCATTTGCATTTTTTAAAAAAGACAAACAAAAATGTATTTGGTGTTGCTAATCACAAATTAGATATCAAATTTTCAAAATTCAAAATGGTGGATCCAATATGGCCGAAAAGAAAATTTTTTTATTTTAATTTTTTTTTCGTTTAATTTTTTTTTCTTCCACTATATTGCATCCGCCATTTTTAATTTTGAAAAAATGATGTCATATTCGTAATCAGCGACCCTAAAAACCCCCCGTAACGAATTTCAAACATATCCAATGAATTTGAAAAAAAATGTCCGCCATATTGGATCCGCCATTTTGAATTTTAAAAATCTGATTCCATATTCGTAATTAGCAACCTCAAAAACCCCCGAGTAACGATTTTCAAGCAAATCCGATGATTTTTTAAAAAAATTTCGAAACTTATGAACAAAAACTTTAAATGCGTTTTTCTCAAAATGCCTTTTTTGAACTGGTAAGAGTGATATCTCAAGTTCTTCTGAAGCGACTTTAAAAAATCAAACGGCTTTTGATTCAGCGTCATCATGCCTATAAGTGGAACCTTAAAAACTGGAAAATTTCCAACTCCCTTTTTTAATAAGAGACATTCTGAATAAAAACACCTTTTTTTGCATATTTGGCGAAAAAGTACTCTAAAAAAGAGGGGGGGAAGAAAATTCCACTTTTATGAGGTTCCACACCTAAAGAAATATCTAACGACGAGAATGTCATTTTGTTTTTGGTTTTATCTGTTTTAGAAAGTTTGGAATCGATCTTACCACCGAAAATGGGCATTTTCGAAAATGGCGTATACCGCCGCCATTTTGAAATAAAAATGAAAAAAATTTTTTTTTACAAATTCTTAAATAAATTATTTATTACATGTAAAAGAAATTTTTTAAATAAATGTCATAGTTATTTTAATAATATATACAAAAAAGCCTTCTTTTTTGCCTGTTTTGAACTGGAATGTCCCCTTAAGAGAAATTATTTTTACAGAATTTAAAGAAATTTTTTTTTTTTTTTTGAATGTTTGTGAATGATTTTAGTCTAGAATTAAAGATTGGAATTTATACTTCATGTTGTAAAACTTTCAAATATCAAAAAGAAAATTTCTTCAATTGGCGTTCGTTTGAACTCCAGATTTCGAAATCGCAAAATTCACAAAAAAATCTCTAACTTTAAGGGGACACCTAAGTCACCTAAAAACAATGCAAAAAGAGTCAACTTTCGGTACACTTTTCTCGAAAACTATTATTCCAATTGCGTTCGCCCTTTTTTTATTCGATTACAAATATAATCAAGTATATGAATAAGAAGTAATACGACGTTATCTTCAATAGAAACTTTTTTATGAATATTTATACCCAAAGCAAAATAAAAATCCCATTTTCTCTGATTCATTGACTCATATCTCCGTTTGTACAACTCAAAATGATGTTAAACTTCTTATTCGTATTCTTGGAACCTTACTGAACAAAGTAAAAAAAAATTACAAATCGGTTTAGTAGATTCGGAGAAAAGTGGACCGAAAGTTTAAAAAATTGAAAAAAACAATTTTGACAGGAGACACGAAAAAAGAAAAAATACTAAAAAGTCATGGTATTCAGAATCATGTAATCAGATTTTTTCAACTCTTCAGAAATGGTTTTAAAAAGTCTTGTTCTATTCCTAATTGAGTCTACTTTTAGAAAATCAAATTTAAAAAAATCGATTTTTTTGTCATTTTTCCACTTAGGTGTCCCCTTAAAGAACCATATTTTCACATTTACATTATTCAATTAATTATATCTGGGGCCATTTGATTCTAAGTTTATTAAACTTCAAAATAATCATAGTTTGATAGCTTTTACATCAATTTTTACAGAAATATTTGAATTTGAAGTGAAGCAAGATTTTAAAAGTAATCAGTGCAAGTGTACTGAAACTTTGCGACCCGGGTTGCAAAAAAGATTATGATCGTAATCTAATATTTGAAAAGCATTGAAAACATAATTTTAATTACAATTGTTTTAAAAAATATTGTTAATAATTATAATTATAAATTGTCACTTTATTTTATATGTTTTTTCGATTTGGAGTACTAAAGAAAAGAAAAAAGCCTTAAAGTTTAACCCTTGATGACTTTCAAACTAATATTGAAATTCGAAATTCTTTAGTTTAAAAATAAACCTCGTGTTGAGTGACTTTAAGAAGCAAAATTTGTTTTACTGTACATTGCATTTTTCAATACAAACATTTTGTTAAACAAATTCTTATTCTTCTTTTTCTACTACTTCTTTCAGAATACTTCCAAATTTCTCAATGAAAAAAATTTTAGTAATAAAACGTGAATGATTAGATATCGATATCTCCGTTCAAAAGAAGAAAGAAACTACTCATGTTGCTCCCGTGTGGAAAAATATTGTGGCAGTCTAGAGTCCAATGATTTCCCGATTAGCAATCATCAAGTCCGTCTAATTCTAGACGGTCCATCAAGTCCCGAATCAGTGACTTAACAGATGGGCTTATTAGAAAAAATCTAAGTCAAATATGTCCGCCTAGTACGGTGTTATTAAGACCGTCTAGATTTGGTCTAGGATGTTATATGCGCATGCGTCGATGTATGCCCAGCTGTTAAGTAACATGGCGCCTAATGGCGTCGCGTCGTTTGGCGTCGTTAGATCAGTCAGCGTATGGTGCATTTTCTTTGTGAATTTTAGTATTCGTTGTGGTTTCTGTTTTATGTGAATAATAATGTGCTATGTTGTTGCTGTTTTCTGTATAATTTAATTTTAAATGTGCACTGAAAAAATAGATTTTGATGTGTTTCTATGTGTTTTGACTAGTCGGCTGAAGCTAGCAGTCGTACTCAGCATCAATGTTTAGGCGTCATCTACCAATATGCCTCTCCTTCAAATTTAGTAATACTTAATGATTTAAAAAACCATCGAATATTGTTATTTGAGAATAAATATACACTAAATAGCAAATTTAGTAAGTTTTTATTTATTAATTTCATTAATTAGTGGTTGACGCCTAAATATTGGTGCTGAGTACGACTGCTAGTTTCATCCGGCTGTTTTGATTTGCAGTAAATTTTATTTTACAAAAAGACTACTATATCTCCAATGCCAAAGATTGGGAGGGACACAAAGCCTTTCGCTTAAAGAAAGTTGAAGTGAAAAATACAGAAAATTAAAATATTTTTTTATACTTTTTATGTAAAAAAAAGTCATCAAAATTATTTCAAATATAATTAAGTTTTATCATTCTAAGAATAGTTGTCATAACATATAATGAGAAATTTTGAATAGACGTAGATTAGAATTTACTAGCACTGCTGATCAGACCAGAAACGCTGGTCTATTCTAGACTATAGCGTGGAAGTTTCGTTTCAATTCTGAACAGCCGCTCGACAAGACCGTCTGCCCTGGGTCTAGAAAGACGTTAGACAGTCTATTAAGCGCTTGGTCAGCGCCCTAAAATTTTTCCACACGGGCTCCTCTAAAAAAACCGAACTGCATTTTTTATCGTAACCTCGCAATATTTTTAATATTTTAAATTTTAAATGAAATAATAATAGTCACTTACACTTTATCAATATTGGCTGATTATAAATTGTCTTTCTAAATAAGAAATGTATAAAATAAAATATGACAAGGTTGGGAGAAAAAATACAGTGGGAGTGGTTTTTTTGAATGGAAGTTTCGATATGCATGGCAGGCAAGTAATTAGTTTAAAAAGTAATTAAACCTTCATATAAATTCCAGGGTGCTGCACGTGAAAAGTAAAAGAAGCTTCGAGTAATTATGACTCAAGATCTTTCCAAGGTCCATTACAAGAAATGTAGATACCCATCCTGCAATCTTACATCTCGTGATGGAGTTCCTGGGCTTACATTTCACGCATTTCCCGTTCGGCAAGCAGATCGTTGCGTGAAATGGCTGGTCAACTGTGGACTGGATGACTGGGTGGAGATGTCTGAAAAGGACTTAAAACTGCGATACATTTGCAGCAGGCATTTCTCAGAAGACAACTTTTACGCCACTGGTCGATTGAAACGCGAGGCTGTACCAATAATTTTAGGCTTAGAAAATCCAAATCTAAAAACAAGTAAAAACGCTTGCAAAGTGCGCAAAGTCGTGTCAACAGAAACAGACTTTCTAAAGAAGCAAATTGAGAAATTAGAAACAAAATTGGAAAAGGAACGTCAAAAGAGAATGGAATGTCGGGCGAAACTGTGCGCGACGAGAGTGGCACTGTCTCGGCTAAAGTCGAAGCTCAGCGAAGGAACTTTTCAAGATATTTATTTAAATAAGGCGCTGGCTAACAAACTGCAAGGCTTTGTGTTGACATTCATTCGAATGCAGTTGTTCCATAAGCAATCTACGTGCTACACCACTGACGAGCAAAGGTTGTGCATGATGATGCACTGCATCTCCCCTGCACTGTATTCGAAAATGCGGGACGATTTCAAATTCGTGCTTCCAAACGAAATCACCATGGTTCGGTGGTTCAACAAACTGAACATATCGCCGAAAAAGGCCAGTCTAACAGGATCCTTCAACTTCGAGAAAAGGGAGCAAAGTGCAGAGGCGCAGCAACAAAATAATTTAATTACGGAAGATGCGCCGGTGTCTGAGGTTCATGCGTTGTCTCCATTAAACGATTTTATGGAAACTTCCGAGGTTGATTCAGTTGAAGGAGAGCAGGTGGAAATGCTGGAAGATGATTCGCAGAGGGAATTATCGGAGGAGCAATTTGAAGCTTTAGAAAACGAAAGACTGGAAACGGAGATAATTGTTGAAGAGATAAACCAGTCAGTGGAGTCGTCTTCAGAGAAAGAAGATGGCGATCTGGAATATGTCACTGTGGACGAGAATGACCAAATAATTAAGGAAAAGTGTCTATTTGTAACGTGTTTAGAAGACAAAAACGGAAGGCAAATTTTAACTGAAGTACTCGATTTTAACAGTGATGAAGTTGGTGATGAACTCAAAGTGCTAGAAGAATTAGAAAACGTCAGTGATGATTTCGATACAGCCCAACACATAGAGGAGTCAGAACAGTATATAATTGAACTGCAAAAATAAACTAAAGCTATTGTTCAGAAAATTCTAAATTGCGTAAAAGTTATGGAAAAATAAACGTTTATTTACTCTTTAAATTTCAACTTTTATCATTATAAGTTACCTTAATCTCTCTTAGTGATGAATTTCGAGCGAGTTTCGTCTCGAAAAATCAAGAATCTGTCGAGAAAAACAATGAAAACAATTGAATGTTATATTTTCATCTCTTTTCCATTATGAAAGGGTAGAGTAACCTCTCTCACCTTTTTCCTGGAAAATTGTTGTTTTCTAAAGTTATTGTGTTTGTTCTTGAAATCTAATTTTACTTAAACATTTCAAAATTAATTCAATTTTTAAAAAATTGCGTTTACAATTTTCATAAGTAGGATAAACTTCAAAAGATTTTGATTTGAAATTTTGTAAAATTTCAATTTTTAATCAATTTAATTATAGAAATTTTAAAAAACTTGGATTTTTAAAAAATTTTAATAACCAAATTTCTTCTGAAATTAGTTAAATTTTTTAATATATATTTAATTGATTACTAAAAATAATGGATTACTAAATTCTTCTAAAAAATTTAATAATTATTTTGAAAAATGTCAATAAAATTCTTGTCATAATTTCAATTATTTTCAATATCTACTAATATAATATATAAAATTTTCCAAAAGAATATAATTATTTAAAAAAAATATCAATAAAATTTTATATCGTGTCAAGTCACATGCAAGAAGTTGTGCTATCTGGGATGCTGAAAATACTAGATTTCTCTGTCCGCATAGAAATGTCGTAATAAAATACAGTTTCCTTGCATTATGAACTTTAATATTTAACAAATATGCGTCACAATAAGCATTAAAACAATAAGACTTGACAAAGTTCTGCTTTATTTTCTCTTCAATCTCTCGCGTAAGACCGCTTATTGCGCATCGTCTTCAGCCTAGTGGTCAAGAAAATTGCAATGCGATCCATTATTGAGTCATTATTTCCTTGTGCTCACTTATTAATATAAGTTTTCAACTGAGAAAGCAAAATTTATTTTGAATTTGATTGTGTTGCAAGAAACACATCCTTGGTTGTTTTCACAATGGCAGTTGGTAGCTGGACAGGTGTCGATTCGCCAATTCCAGATATTAATTTGTAAATATTTAGAATTGTATTTAAATTTGGTACTGCTGCAACATCAGAGATCCTTTTCCCTGTATCAGAAATTGCTATTAAACAAAATTTAATAAGGCGACCTCTAAATTTTGAATAACTATTTGTAGTTACCATGTAAGATAGAAACTGTCGGATCATTTCCTAATATTTACAAGAGTTCTTTTAATTTTTCAAAACTAACTTCACATTTTAATTCTCATAAGATTCATGCGAAACAGATTGAATTTTAAGAAATATGTCAGCCATATTGGATCCGCCATTTTGAATATTTAAAAACCCCAAAAACTTCGCGGTACTTTTTAATAGACTATAAATATTTTTTTCTTTAATTTTGCAGCGGTTTTCTTCGTGTTATTAAAAAACATGAAATTTTAATGTATAATTTAATTTATTTTTTTTTAATTCAAAATTTAGAAATTTTTAATGTTTATATAGGTATATTAAATTGTACTTACTGTTTTCTGCTCCGTTGACAATTACCAAGATTAATACTATAAGGACAAATAGTATAAAACGAGAAAACATTGTCAAATGTCTGGGTTTTATTAATTGTTTCACTCTATTGAAATTTGTTTCTTAATACATATGAATATTGAAAGTGCTTATGTTGAATGAGTAAGTATACAAGAAGGAGGTTGGCATCAAGTTACGTTATAATGATGAGATATCGAAATAGATGAAGGACTTCCGTTCCATGTTTTACTTGATAGATATAATTTAAGACTTGTTATTTTTGCGTCCAACAAATAACTTGCTAAGTGAACTCTTCTAATAAACATTATTATGTAAGTTGCAATAACAATAATAAACTTACCTGCTTGCCATGGTATTCTTTATCACCGTTAATATTAAAAAGGACCAGAGTATTTTTCGACTTATTTTCAAAAATTTCTACTTTTTCGACTTTTCTTCCAAATATTGCAACAAAATGCCACATTTTCAGCATAAAATGCAACACATTTCAATTTTTAATAGTATGAAAAATATATTACTTTTGAAAAACTTTCTAATTAAATTTTCAAAATATACAATTAAAAAGATTTTAAATAATTGAAATTTTATAAAATTTAATTGAAAATAATTGAATTCTCAAAAATTTTAATGAAGAAGCTTCAAGCGAGTAAATTTAAAAATTAAAATTAATTAAAATCAGCTTCCAGGCTTCACAGTCTGTCCCCTATTTCCCTAAAAGTCCCCATTTTTTAATTTTGGCACCTGAACGTACCCTATTTTCAAAATTTCTCCTAAATTTCCTCTATTTTTTTCTTTTATCTTTTAATGATGAATTCACACCAAATTTAGCAAAGTGCCGTTGAAACTTTCAATTGAAAACTTTTGTTTTCAAAGCTTCAAATCTTCAAATTTATGATCGATGAAATTTTTCATGAAATTTATAAAATTTGTAAGCTTAGTATTTTGGTGAAGTCAAGTCTTAATTATGTTTAGAAGTTGGTTGTTTTTTTAATATTATTATTTAATTATTACAAAAGTTTTAATTAATATAAATCTTGATAATTAACAAAATTCTTCAAAGAATTTCTCGCGAGCTTGAAGTTTGCGAAAATCGCTGTTCTCTACAAGTTGCACATACTATTTTGTCCAACGCCTTCGTGGAAATAGAACTATTGTACGCTAGGCACCAATGGAGGAATGTAGTACATTTCCCCACTGGTGGTTTGGCCAGTAGTGGAATGAGAAATTGATTAATCGATTTTTCATTTTATATTAGAATTAGAACATTTTAGGAACAGAATTTTGAGGACACTTTGGGGATCTTTGGGGACACTTTCAAGACATTCATTTTTGAAAAATTTTTTTTCAAATTTTTTTTTTCAATTTTTAGATTTTTTTTCAAAATTTTTTTCCAAATTAGATTTTGTTTCACTCTCAGTTATTGCTATAACATCATTGTAATATTTTGATTTCGATAAATTAAGAGTAAATTCAACTTAAAATTTTGAAAAATTAATAGTTTAAATTTACTATTCATAAAAAAAAAATTTTGCAGTTGTTGGACAAAAATTATTGTCAAAAATTTTTTAAAAATTCTTCTCAAGAAGTCAATTATTTTAAAATTTTTTAATAAAATTCTTCTCATGAATTCAATTGTTTTCAAAAATTATTATTTAAATTCTTTTCAAGAATTCAATTATTTTTAAAAAATTGAATAAAATTCTTCAAAAAGTTTTCAATTTTTTTCAAAAATTGTTATCAAATTCTTTAATATAATAAATTTCATTAAACTTTTAATTAAATTCTTTAAGGGGGTCACCCCGTGTGATGGGTTCAAAAAATCGAAAAAATTTTTTTTTCATAAATCACTTCTACAATATGTGTAGAATATGTGGGTAAAGAGAATTTTTTATTTTTGACATTCTAAGAAAGTTACAGTACTGAGAAGACAAGGAGTTGCCAAGCGAATAATATGTATTACTTAAACTTTGACAGGCGTTTTTCTCAAAACTGTGTTTTTCAAACTGGCGTCCATGATATCTCGAAAACGGCTTGACCAATATCGCACAAATTTATAGGGCGTGTTCAGCACATCTGTGGCTATCGCCCGAACTAGGATAATTGAAAAAGGTCAACTTGTTTCTTTTTATACAACAAAATAGACCAAAAAATCACGTTTTTTTGAAAAAAAAATTTCAAAGCCGCGTAAAAAATTCAATTTTTAATATTTTCAAATAATCCTAGTTCCGGCGATAGCCACATCCTCACAGATTAAGATGCCTTTTGATTTTTCGATTTTAGTTTAGTCAATTAGTCAGTATCGTGGACGCCGATAGACGGCGTTTTTATGATCATCATCACTTTCCAGTTTTATAATTCGGAATCAGTAAAATATTTTTACTTGCAAAAATTTTAATTTGTTGTTAAAATGGAACTGAATATATGTTAAAAATTTTAAAGTCCTAAGTTTTCATGGTTCTTAAAAAGAAAATCCAAAAAAAAACTCTTAACCCTTTAACGCCCAAATGGACAAAATTTTGGCATGAAGTTTGAGGACTTATTTCGGTACTTAAAAATCAATAGAAAAATTCACGAATCATCATTTCTTATGCTTTCATATGCACTCTATCGAATGGCGTTAAAAAAAGTCAAAAATTTATAAACAAAAAAGTTATTAATGTTTTTTATAAAAAAAGTCCGATTTTTTTCCAATTTTTGTTTAATTTTCAATTTTTTCTACTATGAAATAGCGAAAAAATAATTCCAAATAATACAAATAACGTGACATAGATATATAACCTAGAAGATAGGACTATAGAGAAAATTAAAAATTAAAATGGCGGCTCAAAACTGGAGTTTGAAGTTCAAATTTTTTTCAAAATTTGATTCGAAAGTACGAAATTGTTAAAAGTGTTTAGATCAGCTTGAAATTTGTTACTCGGGGGTTTTAGGGGTCGCTGATAACGAATCAGAAGTCCAATTTTCAAAATTCAAAATGGCGGATCCAATATGGCGGCTAAGTTTTTTTAAAAACTAATTAAATTTGCTTGAAACTTGTTACTCGGGGGTTTTTGGGGTCTCTGATTATGAATATGAAATCCAATTTTTAAAATTCAAAATGGCGGATCTAATATGGCCGACAAATTTTTCAAAAATTCATTAGATTAGCTTGGAATTTGTTACTCTGGGGTTTTAGGGGTCGATGATCACGAATCAGAAGTCCAATTTTCAAAATTTAAAATGGCGGATCCAATATGGCTGACAATTTTTCTAAAAAATTATTAGATTCGCTTGAAACTTGTTACTCGGGGGTTTTTGGGGTCGCTTATTACGAATATAATATCCAATTTTTAAAATTTAAAATGGGGATCCAATATGGCCGACAAATTTTCAGTTGAAATTTGATAATCACGTTCTTTAGCCATTGAAATACTTAAAATATTTTTAATGTTTTCCTACTTTCACCACGTGGAGGTAAACG